CGAAATTAATTGAAGTGATCCCTGTAACAATTTTGCCGAAAATCCATTGTGCGAAATGCGGATTTTAAATTTCAGCCAATTGGAGTAACTCTGAAAAAAAAGAAGGTTGCTAGCTCCAGGTTTTTTTGACCGAAATGATTAAACACGAATTATTTTTTCAGCCAATCGGATCACTTTATCAATCATAGAGGGAGGTGCTTGAGAACAACCTTAATACATAAAAATAATTATACAAATAATGATTCATTTAACGCAGAAAATTTAGCATACTAATATTTGGTTATTATTGAATTAGTAAATTATATTATTATCAATCATCAATCCATTCGTTTTCTCTACGAATAGCTTCTTCTTCTTCTGGACTAAAATCATTAACAATATTAAAAGTAGATCTAATTTCTTCGGGTGATTTACCCTTAATCATATTTGCGACAGTCTTGCAGCCGATGTCCCTATAAGAAATTTTTAAACATTTGGAAACTAAATTCATTAATAAAATTGAGATTATTTACAATAATGGTTTGATTTCCAAATAATTTGCAGCCTAATAATTAATCATGAGAAAATAAATTAGTCATTTATTGAAATAAGGTTTCAAATATATAAATCAATAAAAAAAAATAATGAAATAAATAAAATCAACCAGCATGATTTCAAAGAGCATGTCCTGAGTGACACAATTTAGGAAATTTTCGTCCCAATCACCGATTTAGTATTTCTTCTTCGGGAATCGTCATTATCATAATTAAGAGGTGGATCGTTAATATGATGTTCACACCATTCGAGAACCTTGGTTATAAATTAATTAAATGCTTGATTATTTACAATTATAAAAAAAAATAAGTAGTGTACATAATTCGTTTAAGTGATTTTCAATTTAACCTTTTCCAAGACTTTTCCAGTAACATTAGGAAGAGATGCATTTTCTGCATTTGCAGAAATTCATTGTAAAAAGAAAGAGCTTTAAACTTTATAAAACCAAAATTATAAAATTTTTAAAAGTAGTGAACCAATACGTGCCACCACCATTCCAATTGTTAAGCAAAGTATAACGATTAGCGATACGTGCATCAATATGAAATTCTATGCCGTCACTACTTCTCAAAGTAATTGTTTCATTTTCACTGGCATTATTATTAGTATAATTATCCATTTTATTTTATGATATTTGAAAAATAATTATTCCGAATTAAATTCATTAAATCCTAATATATAACGATCGTATTTATACTATTAATACGGAATAAAATCTCCGTTTTAGAATTATTATTATAGTTATACAAATGAAATTACAAACTAAATATGTTAATTTTCATAATTCAAACTAGACTTGCACATGTGGCGGCTTCGCCGCCAAATTCTAATAATATGCGCATTATCAATTAGTATAATATAATGTTTTTACTTAATTATAATTATGAGATTTAAGTTTACTTATTTTAAATGAAATAGAATTAGTACATGATCATGTGGCGGCTTCGCCGCCAACTAATAATTAGATATAACAGTATATGGTATTAATAGGCACTGACAATTTGATAATACATGATTAATCGAAATCAAAAAAATAAAATTAAGGTGGTATTCTATTTGTTTTTTTTATAGTTCTTGGCTTTGCTTGAGGGTACGTTTTTTATGTCTTGGCCTCGCTTCGCTCGGCTAGGTTTTTAACTCTAAGATTCACAATAATGTAAAGTCAATTTAAACCTAGATACTAAAACTTATATATA